CCTACCAAACGAAACCCGAAAAACCTTACTTTGTTTGTACAATGCTATTTGGTCTTCTGGCACTATTCCTACCTCCTGGAAAAAGGCTATTGTTATTCCCATTTTGAAAGAGGGCAAGGACCCTTCTTTACCCTCGAGTTATAGGCCTATAGCACTTACAAGCTGCTTGTGCAAAGTCTTCGAAAAAATGATAAACTACCGACTTGTACATTTTCTTGAAACAAATAATTTGTTCGACCCATTTCAGTGCGGGTTTCGAGAAAGTAGATCCACCACAGACTACCTTGTTCGTATCGAGGCACAGATCAGAGACGCGTTCGTCCATAAACAATATTTTCTCTCTGTGTTCCTCGATATCGAAAAGGCTTATGATACAACATGGCGTTTCGGAATTCTAAAAGACCTGTCCCACCTTGGTGTGCGCGGAAGAATGTTTCATATAATCGAAAGGTACCTGTCAAAGCGGACATTCCGTGTCCGTCTGGGCAGTGTGCTCTCCCAAACATTTGTCCTGGAAACAGGCGTGCCACAAGGTGGTGTGCTCAGTTGCACACTTTTTATTATTAAAATGAATTCTTTGCACTTGTCCATTCCCTGCAGTATGTTCTATTGTACATATGTCGACGACGTCCAGCTTGGCTTCAAGTCATGCAACTTGGCCATGTGTGAGCGGCAGGTGCAGCTGGGTTTAAATAAGGTCTCCAAATGGGCAGATGAAAACGGATTTCGACTTAACCCACAAAAAAGCACGTGTGTCTTGTTCTCTCGAAAGGGAGGCATGCACTCGGAGCCTGACATTCAACTGAACGGGCAACAACTGTCCGTCAAAGCTGAGCATAAATTCTTAGGCTTAATCTTGGACAACAAGTTGACCTTCGTACCCCACATAAAGTATTTAAAAACAAAATGTTTAAAAGCCATGAATGTTATAAAAGTGTTGTCACGTACTACGTGGGGTAGTGTCAGGAAATGCTTCATGAACCTGTATAGAAGCCTTATTCGCACCCGCTTAGATTATGGGGCCATTATTTATCAGTCAGCGACTCAAAGTGCTTTGAAGATGCTGGATCCCGTGCACCATTCGGGCATCCGCCTTTCTACGGGTGCTTTTCGCACCAGCCCTGTAGAAAGCCTTTACGTTGAGTCAAATGAGTGGTCGCTTCATCTGCAAAGAACCTACATGTCCTTTGTATATTTCCTTAAGGTGAAAGCAGACAAGAGGCACCCCTCATACTCTACTATTAATGACTTGTCGAGCTCCATTCTTTTTCAAAACAGGCCTTCAATGAGGCAGCCCTTCTCAGTTCGCCTGAAGGGTCTAGCTGAGGACACTGGAGTGTCACTCGAACACAGTTTAATGGCTCCTGTAGCATACCCGCCACCGTGGCAGTGGCAGACTATAGATTGCGATGTGTCTTTTTTAGAAGTTACTAAACATGCGCCTATTGCCCATATTCGAACATACTTCTTGGAACTTCAACACAAATACACACGTCCTGAGTTTTTTACAGATGCCTCTAAGTCTAACTCCTCTGTGTCCTACGCTGCTGTTGGCCCTTCCTTTTCGGATGCTGGCCCTCTACATCCAGGCACAAGTATCTTCACAGCGGAAGCTTACGCGATACTTGTGGCAGCTAAACACATCAAACAATCACAAATACAAAAAGCAGTAATTTATACAGACTCCCTCAGTGTGGTAACGGCTCTGCACAGTCTTAAAAAACAAAAAAACCCTGTCCTAGTTTCACTTTACTCCATTTTATGCACCCTCCACACACTCAACAGACATGTTGTTGTGTGCTGGGTGCCAGGGCACCGTGAGATTCAAGGCAACGTGATGGCGGATCAGCTTGCTGCATCCGCCCACGAAAGCACTGCCATTACACCGACATCAATCCCGGCCCTTGATCTTAAGCCGTCTCTCAAACGAAAACTCAGGGACTACTGGCAGAGCAAGTGGGATACACACACACAAAACAAGCTACACGTTATCAAGCCACACCTTGGCCATTGGCCACCAGTATCAAAATCACGTCTAACAGAGGTAACACTAACAAGACTCAGGATAGGACACATATACACGACACACACGCATCTTTTGTCCGGTGGTGATCCACCATTGTGTGACAGATGTGGAGAGGCATTGACAGTCCTTCACATATTAATCCAGTGCAAACACTTAGAAACTCTAAGAAAACGACATTTTCCATTACCCTACCGACAGCATATACCTTTACACCCTGCAATGTTCGTCGGTAGGGAACCGCTTTTTAGTCATAAATCATTGTTAGCGTTTTTAAAAGAAATTAATAATTTTCATATCATACACCCGGGCATTCCGTAGCACGACCTCTCTAGAGAGGTTTTTGCTGCGGCGGTTACACAAGAAAGCACTTGCCTCACGGCCCTTGGACGCAAGGGTATGAACGAGTGAGGCACTTGTGCTAATGCCATTCATATCCACCATCGTTTTTTATAATCACCAACTCTTGTCATCTATCCTCACCACACACACCTTTCACGGCATGGTCATGATTTTATTACTTGTATGTTTTTACCCGCCTTACCGCGATGAATTTTATGGCCTTTATACAGCCGCTTATCACAATCATTGTCCATATTCTTAGTAACATGAACTGGCGCTCTTTGGCCGTGAAACGGCCCTTGCGCCACAAAACTTCAAACATCATCAATCTATGAAGGCTATGTATGTATAGTGGTTGGTTATACTCTGAGCATTTTTATATTACCTGATTGATAGTATGAATGTGGTCGATTGTTGAGTAGCCTGTTCGAAATCCTGCTTGTTCCTTTGGTGTATTGAATTCTAATGTTTTCTTTACTCTGTTAGCAATTACCTTTGTAAATAGCTTGTATACTACAGAGAGCAAGCTGATCGGTCTGTAATTCTTCAAGTCCTTGTCATCTCTTTTCTTATGTATTAAGATGATGTTAGCGTTCTTCCAAGACTCTGATACTCTTCCCGTCAGGAGACACCTGGTAAACAGAGTGGCTAGTTTTTCTAACACAATCTCTTCTCCATCTTTCAGGAGATCTGATGTTACCTGATCCTCACCAGCAGCTTTGCCTCATTGCATGCTCTCCAAAGCTTTTCTGACTTCTTCTATCATTACTGATGGGGTGTCATCTGGGTTACTGCTAGTTCTTATAGTATTAAGGTCGTGGTTGTCTCCGCTACTGTACAGATCTCTGTAAAACTCCTCCACTATTTTAACTATCCTTTTCATATTGGTAGTTATTTTGCCTTCTTTGTCCCTTAGTGCATACATCCGACTTTTGCCTATCCCAAGTTTCCTCTTCACTGCTTTGACGCTTCCTCCGTTTTTCAGAGCGTGTTCAATTCTCTCGATGTTATACCTTCTTACATTGCATACCTTACATCTATTATTCAACTTCGAAAGCTCTGCCAGTTCTATTTCGTCTGTTGTACTTGACACTTTCATGATTTGACGCTTCTTAATTAGGTTCTTCGTTTCCTGGGAAAGCTTGCCAGTGTCCTGTCCAACTACCCTGCCTCCAACTTCCACTGCCCACTCTGTAATAATACTCGTCAGATTGTCATTCATTGCATCTACGCTAGGTTGGTTTCCTCATTAAGAGCCGAGTACCTGTTCGGCAGTGACACTCTGAATTCCTGTACTTTCCCTCTCAGTGCTGGCTCATTGATTGGCTTCTTGCGTATCAGTTTCTGTCGTTCTTTCTTCAAGTCTAGGCGAATAGGAGACCGTACCATTCTATGGTCACTGCATCAGACCCTCCAACCACTTCCACATCCTGCACGATTCCTGGGTGTACACTCAACATAAAGTCTATTTCGTTCTTATTTTCGCCATTAGGGCTCCTCCATGTCCACTTGCAGTTTTCTCGTTTTTGGTAGAAGGTATTCAAAATCCGTAAATTATTGCGTTCTGCGAATTCTACTAGTAGCTCTCCTCTGGTGTTTCTAGTACCGATGCCATAATCTCCTACTGCCTGGTCTCCAGCCTGCTTCCTTCCTACCTTTGCATTAAAGTCGCCCATCACTATAGTATACTGTGTTTTTACCTTACTCATTGCCAATTCCACGTCTTCATAAAAGCTTTCAACTGAAGCGTCATCATGGCTGGATGTAGGCGCATAAGCCTGTACTACCTTTATTTTGTATCTTTTGTTCAGTTTAATTACGATACCTACCACCCTTTCATTAATGCTGTAGTATTCCTCTATGTTGCCAGCTATGTTTCTGTGAATTAGGAACCCCACTCCCAGTTCTCTTCTGTTTGCCAAGCCCCGATAGCAAAGGACGTGCCCGTTCTGTAGCACTGTATAGGCCTCCTTTGTCCTCCTAACCTCACTGAGCCCTATTATATCCCATTTAACACCCTCTAGCTCCTCGAATAGTACATCTAGACTTCCCTCACTAGATAAGGTTCTAGTGTTAAATGTTGCCAAGTTCAGGTTCCAATGGCGGCCTGTCCGGATTCAGAGACTCTTAGCACCCTCTGCTGCGTTGCAGATCTGACCGCCGCCGTGGTCAGTTGCTTCGCAGCTGCTGGGGACTGAGGGCCTGAGTTATTTGACGTATGCATGTGGGAGGTAGTGGCCAGATACTGCATCAGGGTGGCCAATCCTTCTCTGGTGAGGGAGTGTGTTCCCGTCGGTGGTTACCGGTGAGGCCGCACCCCATGCCTCTTAACCCTTTGTAGGGCAGGATATGTTTTTTTTAAAAAACCAGAAAAAGGTTGTCTTATTTTACTAACCAAGCCAACAGAAGTAGTTTGAAAGAAATTTCAAGGATGTACAACGAGTACTTTATTAAAAAAAACTGGGACACATTTGTCCCACTGGCGCTAAATTAAAATTAAAAAAATGGGACGCATTTTTCCCAATGCTCTTTGAGGGCTCCGGGGTTACATTCGGGCGGCGTGAAAAAGTCCAAAACACGTTGAACCAATGCTCCTTGAGGGCTTCTTGGTTACATTTGGCCGGCATGAAAAGGTTCAAAACACGTTGAACAAAGGGGCACATTGCACACAGAACACAGAAGGTTGGTGCGTGCTTCTTTCTTGGCAGTCGAGCACCAACGACACCGCCTCCTTTTTGCAATCTTCTGAGGGTGATGTCCAGCTCCCATCATCATCTTCATCAGCAACGCCTACCATTTTCTGGCCATGTTTGGCACCTTTTTTGTTGACTCGATAAGGGTGATTGCTGGACCCTTTGAATGTTTGCCCGTTTATCAGCTGGCGACCAAGGACGAGCCGGAACCAAAGGTAGCTCATTTCACTGACTGCTTTCATTTGAAGAAAAGCATTTACTATTGCTGCGTCCAGCAGAAAGTAAAAAATTCGGTACCACGACTTCTTCGATGGTCGATCCACCGGGTATGCATTCCTTCTTTGGTCAAACTTGTCGACTCCGCCCATCCAGGTATTGTAGTCGGAGACTGCTTTTGGGCACTGGACGGATATAGATGAGCCATCAGAAAGCTTTCGAACAACGTCCTCAGTGTCGCTGGGGTGATGAAAGTTGGACAGCACGTGTACGTTTTTCGTGTCCCGCCACTGATAAGCTGTGATGCTCCCTTTCGCATGCCAGATATACTGTCCCTTCTGTAGCTTGTTATCCCGTTTGATTTCGTCAGGTAAGTCCTTGCTGTTTGGGCGAATCGTTCCTGCGGCCAAAATGTTCTTTTCTTTCAAGGCCTCCATTAGGCGTGTGGACGTGAAAAAGTTATCGAAATATAGCGGCGTGCCAGCCTCTACTCGGTCAATGAGGGAGAGCACAACATGCTCACCAAGACCTAAGTTCGCAGGTCGGTCTGCACCTTTACCTTCGTAGACCTGAAATTCAATCAGGTAACCTGCCTGAGAGTCGGCTCTGCACCACACCTTGTATCCCCGCTCTATAGGTTTCATTGGAAGGAACTGCTTCAGTGAGGACCGGCCTTTTTTGAATCGTATCATACTGTCATCAATGGCTTGGTGCGCTGATGGAGTGTATTGTCTCTTGAAACTTTCATTCAGTGCAAGAATGAGAGGATGCACTCTTGCCAATCTGTCGTACCCTTCTTCACCTTTCTTTTTTTCCTTGGTTTTTCCTTGGTTTTTCCTTTTTAGTCATAAATCATTGTTAGCGTTTTTAAAGGAAATTCATAATTTTCATATCATATACCCAGGCATACCGTAGCACGACCTCTCTAGAGAGGTTTTTGCTGCGGTGGCTACACAGGAAAGCACTTGCCTCACGGCCCTTGGACGCAAAGGTACTAACGTGTGAGGTACTTGTGCTAATGCCATACATGTCCACCATCGTTTTTCATTATGACTAACTTTTGTCACTTATTCACACCACACACACTTTTCACGGCATGGTCATGATTTTATTACTTGTATGTTTTTACCCGCCTTACTGCGAGGAATTTTATGGCCCTTATACAGCTGCTAATCACAATCATTGTCCACATTCCTTGTCCCGTGAACTGGCGCTCTTTGGCCATCAAATGGCCCTTGCCCCAAAAAACACCATATATCATCATTTTTTTCCTTGGTTAGGTCAGTGAGGTGCAAACAGTTCATAATGGCTTGAAAACGACGGAACGACATAACCTTTGATATTTCAGGACAATTCAAATGTACCTGTACTGGAGCAGTGACAGTTTTTTCATGTCTGGGGTTTGTGCTCATCAGCAGAAGTATGCCAAAGTATGCACGAAGTTCATCAATTGTAAGCTCTTTCCAAAGCTGTCGGCCTTTCTGTTTGGCAAAGCGGTTTGTCTCAGTCACCAGTGTGTTCATGATACCTTCGTCAAAATAAAGAGCAAAAGCTTCACAAGGTGTCGTTGGGAGATTTGCACTGTATTGTGGGTCCGAAATTTTTGGAACACGAATGACGGCATCCGGTTCGCTGCTATTCCATGCCCCAACCTCCTCTTCTTCGACTTCTGCTTCGTCGCAAATTCTAGGCACTTTCTTCTGCCTCCTTTTCTTCCTTGAATAGGTAGCCTTTCGCTTTTGTGGTTTCCTTGTTGATTCCGCCGCTTCGGCTTCACTGCTTTGCTCATCTGAATCAGGCGGAGCGAGCTCGGGTGCGAAGTCTTCATCTGTATCTCTGTCGGAATCACTCGACGTAGGGTCGTCAGGAAGGCTAAAATATAATTCCAGCGCTTCCTCTCGCGTCAGCAATCGTTTACCCGTGTTTTTACAAGCAAACAGAAAACAAAAGAGTTGGTGAAATGTTTCACTACACATCGAATGCAGGCAGCGGTGGCAGTAGGCTTATCCCATCGTCATGCAGTTTTTGCCCTGGCACCATTCGAAAAAGCTTTAGGAGTAAGTATTGCTTCTATTGTTGAAAACACCCGATTAATACATGCTGGAACTATTTCTTTCAAAGCACAGAAAAGGGTACACTCACTTGTCATCTTGAATTATTCTTTTCCAGAGACTCACAATGCGGAAACTTGTGCCGTCGGTGAAACGAAAAACACAATTTTGAAAATAATGTACACCTAGCGCCACCTATTGTACAGCTTCCAAACGAGATTCAACAGAAGTGTAAAAACCTCAATGTAGATGGCAGCACAGAAAAAATGGGCTTGATGCGTCCCATTGCCTCTCACGAGCAATTCTGTGGGGAACAAAAAATGGGACATATATTTCCCGTTGCCCTACAGGGGTTAATGCAGTTCCATCAACACGCAGATTTTTTTTTAAATCCTGTTGGAAACTGCGCGGCACCGGGATTTTAACCACGGACCTCTTGCATTTTGAACATCATAGGAAGAGCCAGGTGTCGCATAATTGTGCAAAAGGAAGCATTAGTTTGCGCTAAAAATTTCCCGATAGCAATGCACCATCTGGCTGGATTTCAAGTTTTGTTAAAATGTACGATGACACAGACCATGGGCTTTTGTCATGTCATTTGTTACCAATTAAACAGTGGCTGCGTAATTTAGGGTACCTTGAAATTTCTCGCGGCCATATTTCAAGAAGGAAGGAGGCAGAAACGCACCGTTGATGCCGTACGTGATCCTTCATCACACAGGTAGACTCGTCGCAAATGTCTGAATACTCTGGAAATACTAATCATGAGCTAGATCGAGATAAAACCGAGGCGGAAATACAGGCTGTTTTGAATAGTCTTCGTACAACGGCTTCCCCAGGAGATCAAGGTACCACGAGATCTAAAAAGAGCTCACTGTCCAATCCCCTGGAAATTGTCATCTGGCTTAGCCACAACATTTTGCATAAGTAGGTCACAAAAACCACACGCTCAAAATAACCATAATTCCCAAGCTCTCACGATGGGAAAAATCTTAAAGTGCACATCATTGCTATACAGATGCGCTTTGATCACTACATTTAAAATGCAGTTTTCTCAGAATGTAATGTCAGTCGACTTGTTCAGTAAGTGCAAGTATATCCTTTAAAACCTTATATCTCATATATAATTGTTACAATAAGTATGGGTAGAAAACTTCAAGACTTTTATCACTACAATTTTCCTAGTTCATTAAGACACACTTCCTTGCTAGTTAAGACACACTTCCTTGCTATTGACATTCTATAGTTATAGTGGAGTGCCATCAATGGCATATAGTAATCGTATACATTCAGTGGTAGACAAAGTGTGTCCAAAAATAGCTATTAGTCCTGAGAGCCGCATGCCAGATTTGCACAACAAAGCACTTGTAGAGCTACTAAAGCACCATTTAGTTTTGGAAATGAGTGCAAATTCGATCCCCGAACTAATGGGCCAAATCAAGAATCTATCACTGCCGTGCTCTGCCCAAAAGTGTTGCAAACACCGAGGCAAGCGTGCAACTGTGACTTAAGAATAAACGTTTTAAAAATAAACGGGCTGGGTACTTGAAAATAAACGTCAGACCCTACATTCCCAACCCCAGAGGCTGTTTCAAATGTCAAAGATTCGGACACGCCTCCCACTCTTGCAGAGGCAAATAAACATGCGCAAAATGGCCTGCAGGGGCGCTTGCGCAAGTAGGCGTTTGGTGTGTAGCGACACCACGGACCCGAGCTAACGGGGGAGTTTTGACTCCCTCCCACACCTAGCCGTGCGTGGCTTTGCCGTGTCCTGGGAAAAGGGGATCCTGGGGGTGGAGCCGACGCTGGGTGATTGGACCTTTAAGGCTGCCCGGCAGAGGCAACACACCCCTTTGGCCCCGGCTTCACGTAGACGGCACCCCTGGGCTGACCCACCCAGGGGAAATCGCCAGTCGCCTTTTCCTATCTCTCTCTCCCTACATCTTCGTCTGTCTTACTTTTTTAGCTTTCCTGTCTACTTCTCTCTTCTGCTTACTTCCCATTTTCTCGGCGGCAAGGGTTAACCCTGTGCAAATAGCCTACCTTGGCCTAGGCGCATTGGGTTATAGCAGGGTTGTACGGCTGATGTCTGCAAGCTTTTAGCAGCCGCAAACTTGCATCGTCCCCTCGTTGGGCTCCGTGGTGGGTGGCCGCCAACGCTGCCGAACAACATACAATTAGCATGCAGAAAGCATTCCCTTTACTTAGTGATCGTGCCTCCACAAAGCGGGTACGCACCGAAGACATCAATTTTTTTCATTCGGCCAAGACAAATGTTTCCTCGTTTCCACGTTATACACTGCGAAAAAACTAACAAGCAAGCCAGAACTGTATCCCCCTTCATAGTGGCTAGATGCTTAACCGATACTCGCGGTGCTGGGTACAATGTTACCAAAATGGCCAGCGGAGATCTACTCCTTGAGATATGTGACAAAGACCAATTTGATAAACTGAACACCCTCACAACGTTTGGAGACACACCCATCAGTATTACACCACAAAGGTCCATGAACTCATCTCGCGGGGTCGTATCGGACTCGGATTTGCTTGACCTGACCGAAGCTGAACTTCTGGAAGGATGGAAGAGCCAGAACGTGACAAACGTACAGCGTATTAAGATAAGAAGAGATCAAGAAGAAATACCAACCAAACACTTAGTACTGACCTTTGCTTCGAGCGATTTGCCGGAAACCATTCAGACTGGGTATACAAAGACATCCAAGAGGCCATATATTCCCAACCCCCGCCGTTGCTTCCAATGTCAGAGATATGGCCACGGCTCGCAAAGCTGTCGTGGCTGGAAAACTTGTGCTCTATGTGGAGTCGTGGGCCATGCCTCCGACAACTGCGAAGCACCTGCACACTGTGTGAATCGTGGTGGTAATCATGCCGCGTACTCGCGTTCCTGTTCTTTCTGGAAAAAAGAAAAAGAGATCATCACTTTAAAGATAAAAGAAAACATTACATTTAAAGAAGCAAGGAAAAAGGTCTCGCCATTTTATGGCCCCATATATGCTGATGCGGCGCGCCAGGGGGCAGTGTCGCACCAGCCCTCGCCACTCCTTCGGCCTGCGCAGAGCGAGCCATTGGCTGTGGCGCCTGCCCCCAAGACGGCAGTAGCTGAGTCTACTCCGCCTACTATTGAACAGAGACCAGAGACTCCAGGGTCCTCGGGTCTCAAGGCCTCACCACGCCAGGCGAGGCCCAAGCTTCGAAAAACCAGCTCGCGTGAGCGGGCATCCAGTGCCTCCGAGGAGGCAATGGATACGGCGGCACCCCTTGTGCCAAAAGAACGGCGCGGCTCTCTGGAGCGCCCCAAGAGAACTAAAAAGCTCATAACAGGGCCTGATAATAGCCCTGTTATTTGAGCTCGACCTTTCAGTTTAAACAAGTCACTCTCAACGTACACACAGCACTACTTTACTTCCAATATGGAAACACAAATTATACATTGGATCGTTAGAGGACTGCTTCTCGACGACGCCCAAGAGCTTTTATACAAACACTCACCTCAAGTGCTGTGTGTACAGGAAACACACCTAAAATCCTTCAATACAATTTTTTGACGTGCTTACGTCATATACCGAAAGGACCGAGATGATGCTGTTGCATCATCCGGTGGCGTAGCCGTTATTATCAAC